CTGATGCCGTGCACGTAGGTGGCCACTATGAAGATTTTTATAAAATGAAATGCGCTCTTCAATAATAAGTTGAGACCATTCGGTTTGAATTGAAGAAAGTGTGATTAAGTCCATCTGAATGTGGAGTCAGAATGTCTTCTTTTATTGGCCCCACCCCCTGTATGCGCCACTTGTCAATTCGCTACTTGCACGCTCCTATGGGCAAGTCTATGTCACACACAAAAGATGTTCATTAATGTGCGCTTAGAATTGATGCGGTTTTGCTTACTGCAGCGTTTTTTCGTTTTTTTTCAGGCGGAATATGGGACAACACATATGCATCGAATGCTTTGAGCAAAAATTTCAATTTCGAAAAGATTGAGTGTTTAACAAAAGAAGTGATTTGTAATTTCCCCACTAAGGAAGGCTGGGCTATGCAATAGAGTTGTTTCAGAGGGAAAGTATCGAGCTACGTTCATGGTATATAATCTAAGCAGTGTGGCTGGTCTTGTTCGCATTCGCGTGCAACACGGGACTGCATTGGTATAAAGCAGGACCATCAATATTTTCATAGTGCCTCATGGCAAACTCGACCAGGCAACCACCCACCAATACTACAATTACAATAGATTCCTCTTCGCCAATATTCCTCCACACGTTTCCAATTACTGGCCCCTCTTCGAACCTATGCACAATGTTTCGTGGCAAACCCCGCCTACTTCGGTGTACACCGCGCCACGGATGGCACCTGACCAACTTCCTTCACCAATCTCTATCCACTTTTTTCCCGGTCTACAGAACTTCGAAGCGGATTATGAATTTCTCATAATCACTTCTCACTCAAGGATACGCCCCGCCTACTATGGGCGGACTTCCACATAGCTGAGATATGCTGAGAGCACCTTACATAATGTTATCCACCATCGATTTTTTCCGCTCCATAGGCTTTCCTAAACGAGTTATGAAATCTTACATTAGGCTTCGCATTTTTGGAGAACGCTCCGCTCACCGTGGGAATGTCTCCCTAATTCGAATTATCAACTCAGTACAGACCTTCACCATTTTCCCCGACCCTCGGGCTGTCTACAACCGAACTCGACACTTTTGCCTTGACACCGCCCAAGTAGGCGCGTGCCCCGCCCCTATGGACGAAACTCCTCCCAGCCGACCCGTTTTGGGTACCCCCCAGGAGGCCCGTCGCGCGGCAAGAAGGCAGAGTCGGCGGACGAGTCGCAGCGCGTGATGTGCGATGTAGGACGTGCAATGGGACACTCTATTTAACTTGACGCGAAATCCCTATACGCGCGCGACTCGTCCGCTGACTCGGCCTTCTTGCCGCGCGACGGGCCTCCTGGGAGGTAGCTTGTGTTTTGTACTTTTCGACCAATGCCGCACCCATCCCAAACTGGAGCCGGTTTCTGGAGGCGGTTCTTGTTTAGAATTTCGTGGAAGACGGACAAACAGACACACACAGAGACAGACTTAGCGTGTTATATGTAGCAGGATTGATCGGAAAACCTATAGCTCTCCTCATGTCGCCCTTTTTTTCGAATTTTATTGTGTATTAGGATGTGCTCTAGTGTAGTTATGCACACCAATATTGCGTCCCCTCGCTGACATGTCTAACTGATTATACATGTACTGGCATTCAGAACTTTTTAATAACAAGTGTTTGGTTAATAAAGAAATGACGTCACACCTTCATTGTTCGCCGATGTCCCCACGAGCCTTTGTCAAGTGTCATACAATTTTCCCATTTTCGGTCCATTAGCTTCCCTGAACTCAGTACATCATGATTCATTTCGAAGAGAATCTCTGTCCAAAAGTGCTTTGGAAATGAGCGACTAGTAACATAAAATTTCAGAAAAAAAAGAAGAAAAAAGAAAAAAATCAATAGAAGAGATTTCATTGGTAATTTACCTGGGTCATAGTGATCAGAATAGGTGAAGAACCCGCCATGCTTTCCCATGGAATCACCGCCCCAACGATCATTCACAACGATGACATCCTTGACAGGACTAAAGCAGTTTAAGTTCAAGCTTCAGTGTAGAAGTTCAGCTCGTCACTGCTGTACGGTACAGAAACTTATTATGGTATTTTAGAGGTCCCTCCTATTGCGAAAAAGCAGCCCATGTTGCCAAAAGCCATCTTAGTATGTAAATAGGTGATGAGAATGCCCTTATGCCTCAAGCTGAAAAAAAAGATAATTATCTTG